ATAAATAATAATACTAATAATAATATAATATAATAATAATATACTAATATAGAATACTTAATAATACTTATAATACTCAATAATAATTAATAATTATTATTAATAATAATATTTATTTATTATATACTTAATAATAATCAATAATACTTAATTATTATGAATAAATAACAATACTTACTACTAATAATATAATATAATAATACACAATAATATTGAATAGTAAACAATACTTATAATACTTAATAATAATTAATAATTATTATTATGAATAAATAAGAAATAATACTTACTGATAATATAATAATAATACTTACTAATAATAATATAATAATTTACTTAATAATAGAATAGAATAGATTACTTAATAATATTTATAATGCTTAATAAATAATAATACACATAATACTTTATTATTATTATGAATAAATAATAATGCTTACTGATAATATAATTATAATAATACGAATAATAATATAATAATATATTTAATAATATAATATAAAGGAATACTTAATAATATTTATAATGCTGAATAAATAATAATATAACAATAACATCATAATAATATACTTAATAATAGCATTATTGTTATAAAACGTAATAATTAATAATAATTAATAATTAATAATATTTAATTATTAATAATAAATAATTATACTTAATAATAATATACTTAATAATAGCATTATCTTAAGATGTCCATAGATTTTGGAAATAAAACGCAAATGCATCCAGATATATTAACTTTATTAGGATCAGGGTCTACAAAGAAATTGCCAAAAGATCTGTACAGCATGTCAATTCTATACATTCCCTAGAATTCCCCATGCACACACACCCATACATTTACACACACACACACACACACAATCCCAAACGAAAGAGCTCCGAACACTGCTTTAATACAGTTTTCCCCCATGTTTACAACACAACCGTTCTTCATTCCTCTCCTTCCAGATCAGCCTTTTGTATATTAAATAAAATAACAATAAAGCTACATGTAAACTTGGCTGGATATTAAAAACAACAACAACAACATTCAAGTAAAGACGATACACCAGGTGCTTTCCTGATGCGATGCCAGCAAAAGATACAAAAAGGTCCACACTAGCACTCTCCTAGGGAAGGAAGGAAAGACAAAAGGGAAGGAAGGAAGGAAGGATGAAAAGATGGAAGGGAAGAATGGAAGGAAGGAAGGGAAAGAAGGAAGGAAAAAGAGAAGGGGAGGATAAAGGGAAGGGAAAAGGAAGGAAAGACAAAAAGGAAGGAAGGGAGAAGAAAGATGGCGAGAAGGAGGAAAGAGGGAAGGAAAGAGAACGAAGGAAAGAGAAAGAAGGAAAGACAAAAGGGAGGAAGGAAGGGGAAAGATGGAAAGAAAGAGGGAAGAAAGGATGAAAAGGTAGAAGGGAATGATAGAAGGAGAAAGAAGGAGGAAGGAAAAAGAAGGAAAGGAAAGACAAAAGGGAAGGAAGGATGGAAGTATGAAAGGGTGGAAGAGAAGGGAAGGAAGGGAAGGAAAAAGAAGGAAAGGAAAGACAAAAGGGAAGGAAGGGGAAGGATGGAAAGAGAGAGGAAAGAGATAAGAAAGGATGAAAAGGTAGAAGGGAAGGATGGAAGGAGAAAGAAGGAGGAAGGAAAGAGAAGGAAGGAAAGACAAAAGGGAAGGAAGGATGGAAGTATGAAAGGGTGAAAGGGAAGGGAAGGAGGAAGGAAAAAGAGAAGGAAAGGAAAGACAAAAGGGAAGGAAGGAAGGGGAAAGATGGAAAGAGGGAGGAAAGAGGGAAGAAAGGATGAAAAGGTGGAAAGGAAGGATGGAAGGAGAAAGGAGGAGAAAGGAAAGAGAAGGAAGGAAAGGCAAAAGGGAAGGAAGTATGGAAGTATGAAAGGGTGAAAGGGAAGGGAAGGAAGGGAAGGAAAAAGAAGGAAAGGAAAGACAAAAGGGAAGGAAGGAGAAGGATGGAAAGAGAGAGGAAAGAGATAAGAAAGGATGAAAAGGTAGAAGGGAAGGATGGAAGGAGAAAGAAGGAGGAAGGAAAGAGAAGGAAGGAAAGACAAAAGGGAAGGAAGGATGGAAGTATGAAAGGGTGAAAGGGAAGGGAAGGAGGAAGGAAAAAGAGAAGGAAAGGAAAGACAAAAGGGAAGGAAGGAAGGGGAAAGATGGAAAGAGGGAGGAAAGAGGGAAGAAAGGATGAAAAGGTGGAAAGGAAGGATGGAAGGAGAAAGAAGGAGAAAGGAAAGAGAAGGAAGGAAAGACAAAAGGGAAGGAAGGATGGAAGTATGAAAGGGTGAAAGGGAAGGGAAGGAGGAAGGAAAAAGAGAAGGAAAGGAAAGACAAAAGGGAAGGAAGGAAGGGGAAAGATGGGAAGAGAAAGAAAGAGAAAAGGGAAGGGAAGGATGGAAGGAGAAAGAGGAGGAAGGAAAGAGAAGGAAGGAAAGAAAAGGAAGGAAGGAGGAAGGAGAAAGAGGAGAGAGGGAGGAAAGAGGGAAGAAAGGATGAAAGTGTGGAAGGGACGGATGGAAGGAGAAAGAGAGAGAGAAGGGAGGGAGGGAAGTGGGGGAGGAAAGAGAAGGAACGAAGGACAAAAGGATGGAAGGGAATGGAGGGAGGAAAAAAGAGGGAGGAAAGACAAAAGGGAAGGAAGGAGAGAAGGACAAAAGGGTGGAAGAGAAGGATGGAGGGAAGGAAGAGAAGGAGAAAGGAAAGAAGGATGAATGGGTGGGAAGGGAAGGAGGGAGGGAAGAGAGAAGAAGGAAAGGCAAAAGGGAAGGAAGGATGGAAGGAAGGAAGGAAGGAAGGAGGAGAGAGAAAGAGTGAGGGAGGACTAGAGGGAGGAGGGAAGGAGAGAGTGAGGAAAGAGAGGAAGGAAGGATAGGATGGTGTGAGAGAGGAGGGCTTGAGAAGAGCCCAAGGGGTCAGATCCGGGCCCTGGGTCTTACCTGTTTTAGCTGCTACAGCTCCCACTTCATAGCCATTCAGTGGCTGGTAGAGCGAATCAGAGAAGCCTCTGGCTATGTCCCCGTAGCCACGTGCAAAACAATAACATCATCTGCCAATATCCTCCAGCAGACATTCTTATTGCTCATCTGGATTCTTCCAGCCACTGAATGCCAGTGGAGTGAGTTCTACAGAAGCTAAATGCGGAGTCTCGTGGTGCTTTGGTCATAATGGTGAGAGGAAGAGAACTCCATGTTCGCCAATGACAAAAACAAAAGAGACCCACACACCTGACAGCTAGACTTACACTTGTGTATTTTGCTATCAGGATACCAGCCTATCTATGCCACGCCATATAGCAACTTAGCAACAAGTAAAATACTCGATCCAAAAGTTTGCAAGGTACCTCTCCGCGATCCAGCTCTGTGCGGAATTGAGTAACTTTAGAATACGGCCAATCCACAGAAACACTAGGTAAACACACCACAGCCTCTCTATTCCAGAACCGGTGGTGATGGAAACAGTCTGGCTCAAAGCAGTTTCCAGGTTTGACCCTGGACAAGTTCAGTAATAGTAATAATAATAATTAATAATAATAATAACAATAAAGGAGATAAATACTGGCTCTCAAGGATGCTTACCTCTCCAGTGTGCATCCCATGTACAACTACACACAGCCTCGTTTTGGCTGACCACTTTAGTACAGTAGAGTCTCGCTTATCCGACAGAATGTCGGATAAACGAAAATGTCGGATAACATGGAGTCTCCTACTGTTACTCATCTGACATCTAGAATACGAACAACAGGGACTCAAAGAGTTAAAGCAAGGCAACGCCCCGGGGGTAGAGAGGCCCAGCAGGAAGTGTCCGGATGCGGAAGAGGAGCGTGGAAATCACAGAGGGAAGGAGGGAGGAAGCTTCTGCTTTCGGTTCTACCTCTTTTCCCCATTTCCTCCTTCCTCCTCCTCGTCTTGCCTTTTTCATTTATTGGGAATGGCGAGAGAGTTGGGGAGCGCTCCTTGAATTGAAGGGGAAATGCTGGAGGAAAAGGGGGTGTCGGATAACAACAACACTGGCCATTGTGGCCCAACTTCACAAAACGCAAGCATTTCAGCTACCAGCAAATCCCTTCTAAATATGTTTTGAAAGTATCTCTGCTGCTACCAGGTTTCATTTCATTCCCGAACCCCGAATACTCTTGGGCTTTTATTTCGAGAAAGAGTTGGGGAGCGCTCCTTGAATTGAACGGGAAATGCTGGAGGAAAAGGAAGGCGTTGGATAAGACGGAATGTGGCATAAGTGAGACTCTACTGTATATAATTTTCACTCATGTACACATCCTCATTTTATATTTATGTCAGGATCGCCTGCAACATTGGCCATTTTGGCACACCTTCACAAAATGCAGGCATTTCCGCTACCAGAAAATCCCTTCTAAATATGTTTTGAAAGTATCTCTGCTGATACCAGGTCATTTCATTCCCAAACCCCGAATACTTTCGGGCTGTTGTTTTGAGAGAGAGTTGGGGAGCACTCTGTGAATTGAAGGGGAAATGCTGGAGGAAAGGGGGGGGCATTGGATAAGACGGAAAGTCGGATAAGCGAGACTCTACTGTATATAATTTTCACTCATGTACACATCCTCATTTTATATTTATGTCAGGATCGCCTGCAACATTGGCCATTTTGGCACACCTTCACAAAATGCAGGCATTTCCGCTACCAGAAAATCCCTTCTAAATATGTTTTGAAAGTATCTCTGCTGATACCAGGTCGTTTCATTCCCGAACCCCGAATACTGTCGGGCTGTTGTTTCATTCCCGAACCCCGAATACTGTCGGGCTGTTGTTTCATTCCCGAACCCCGAATACTGTCGGGCTGTTGTTTCATTCCCGAACCCCGAATACTGTCGGGCTGTTGTTTCATTCCCGAACCCCGAATACTGTCGGGCTGTTGTTTCATTCCTGAAACCCGAATACTGTCGGGCCGTTGTTTCATTCCCGAACCTCAAAAACTGTCGGGCAGTTGTTTCATTCCCGAAACCCGAATTATGTCGGGCTGTTGTTTCATTCCCGGACCCTGAATACTGTTGGGCTGTTATTTCAGAGGAGTTTCAGGTTCGCATTGCTCCACCAATAAGGCACTGAGTTTGCATTCCATCCTTCCACAGCCTTTGAACTGAAGGGCATATTTACAAACACAAGCTTGCTTTGCCTCTTGATCTTTTCGAACTGGGAAATGGCAAGATCCACAGATCCGACGGGACGCAAGCCAACCGCAAAAGCTTTTCTGCCTAGCAACTCCAGACAGCCCAGGATCCCAGACATGTACCGACAAAGGTCACCGCTGTGGACTGAATGGGCTTGGTGAAATTCCAGGCTCTTTTCCAGACCCATTTGTCATAGCACCACAACAACAAAGTGAAGGAAGAGAGGGAAAGCGGGGGAGAAAAGTGGATTGCCAGGGACTCGGCATCCAGTCTTTTACATTATTCAGCAGAGAACGGCAGGAAACAGAGTGGAAGGCATGTTTCTTTCTGACTCTCTTCAAGTCATTTAAGCCTCTAGCAATGATAGATATCATTGTCCTTTGTCTCCATATCCCAGATGTTGTCGTAACTGAAGTCGCTCTGAAAGCTCTGGAGTTCAGCATAGTCGTGATAGGTCGAGTCGAGACGTTCCCGTCCGCTTTCTGGCAGGTTGTACGTCCCAATGCTTTTCTCTGTAAGAGACAAGGAGCGCAAGGGTAATTACATCTATCTATATCTGTACACAGGGGCGGCCAAGCCATTACGCAAAGTAAGCCTTCGCAGTAGAGTTGATTTTGCCCAGGGGCGCTCTTGAGGCGCTCTTGGGGGGAAATAGACCTTGACATATGCGAGTTGTAGTTACTGGGATGTATAGTTCACCTGCAATCTAAGAGCACGCTGAACTCCACCAATGATGGACCTGGAATTAACTTGGCACACAAAAACCCCATGACCAACAAAAAATACTGGAGGTCTTTGGAGGGATTTCTAGGAGTTGTAGTTCACCTACATCCAGAGCGCACGATGAACTCAAACAATGATGGACCTGGACCAAACTTGGCACACATACCCCATGTGCCCAAATTTGAATACTGGTGGGTTTTGAGGGGAATTGGTTTGGATATTCTGGAGTTGTAGGTACTGGGATTTATAGTTCAAGTGCAAACAATGAACACTCTGAACTCCACCAAAGATGGAATTGGACCAAACTTGACACACAGAGCTCAATTGACAAGCAAAAAATACTGGAGGTCTTTGGGGAAAATTCACCTTAATTTGTGGGATTTGTAGTTCGCCTACATCCAGAGAGCACTGTGAACGCAAACACCAATGGATCTGGACCAAACTTGGCACACAGACCAAATATGTTGAAATTTGATTACTGGAGGGGTTTGGGGGGAGCTAGCCTTCCTCCTTGGGAGTTGTAGTTCATCCACAACCAAAGAAACAGTGACCTCCGCCGATGATGGACCTGGACCAAACTAAAATTTTCTGCATCTAAGCTGTGTTTAGGTATAATCCCATTCTAGCTCCCTTCTTTTGGTCTTGATATATGGTCATTGTGACTATGAGAGGTCACAACGAGAGGCTTTCCCATCCCTGAATGACTCACCTGATGTTGGCAAGGAAGGCAACCGAAGTTCTTCCCTATCTCTGGACAAGGTGTGCTGCAAGGGCAAGAGAAAGAAAGGCAGAGATGAGTGCCACATAACCCGCAAGCTGTCCGTTCACTTTAATTTTTTGCCACGATGGCTAATTTGCAATCCTGATTTCACACTTCGCTCTTCTGTGTTAGGACTGTAGCCAAGGCTGTATCACAGTACACATGCTGTTTTCTAAGAAGAACGGACATATTGGATCTCACCAAAGTTCCATCTACAGTGTTCCCTCACTTATCACAGGTGTTACGTTCCAGGACCACACGTGAAAAGTGAAAATCTGTGAAGTAGGGACACTATATATATCTCTAACCTTCACCACAACGCCAGTCAATGAGCTACTGACGACTGGCACTGCTCATTCACTTTTGTTGGCTTCCCGCTACACAGCAGTGAAACCAACTTTCCCCGCGAAAATTCCCTGAGAGAGTGAAAACTTTGCACTTGGAAGGAATCAGAAGGAGGGCGCTTATCTCTAACCTTCACCCCAACGCCAGTCTATGAGCTACTGACGACTGGCACTGCTCAAAAAGTGAAAATCTGTGAACTAGGGACGCTATATATATATCTGGAAAGTAACCTTACTTTCCAGATATCCCTCGTACATTGTGGACTTTGGACTTGGAGGGAAAAGGAATGTAGACACTCATCTCTTACCTTCACCACAATGCCAGTGGATGAGCTACTGATGACTGGCACTGCTCGAAAAGTGAAAATCCACGAAGTAGGGATGCTATATATATCTGGAAAGTAACCTTACTTTCCAGATATCCCTCGTACAGTGCAAACTTTACATTTGGAGGGAAACGGAATGAGGATGTTCATCTCTAACCTTCACCACAATGCCAGTGGATGAGCTACTGACGACTGGCACTGCTCGAAAAGTGAAAATCCACGAAGTAGGGATGCTATATATATATGTGGAAAGTAACCTTACTTTCCAGATATCCCTCGTACAGTGCGGACTTGGCACTTGGAGGGAAACAGAATGAGGATGTTCATCTCTAACCTTCACCACAATGCCAGTGGATGAGCTACTGACGACTGGCACTGCTCGAAAAGTGAAAATCCACGAAGTAGGGATGCTATATATATATCTGGAAAGTAACCTTACTTTCCAGATATCCCTCGTACAGTGCGGACTTGGCACTTGGAGGGAAACAGAATGAGGATGTTCATCTCTAACCTTCACCACAATGCCAGTGGATGAGCTACTGACGACTGGCACTGCTCGAAAAGTGAAAATCCATGAAGTAGGGATGCTATATATATATGTGGAAAGTAACCTTACTTTCCAGATATCCCTCGTACAGTGCGGACTTGGCACTTGGAGGGAAACAGAATGAGGATGTTCATCTCTAACCTTCACCACAATGCCAGTGGATGAGCTACTGACAACTGGCACTGCTCGTTTGTTTCCGCTGGCTTCCCACTACACAACAGTGATACCAACTTCCACCGAGAAAATTCCCTGCAAGAGCTACATGCTTTGTAACCTTACTTTCCGGAGAACCCAGAGACTAGAAGACCACTCAAACACATTGACGAACGCTGGAACTGTACTCACGGCAGTCAGGTAGTCATTGTCTGATGGAGGCATTGCTGAAAAATTCAAAACTGGGCTGGATCGCTGAGCAGTAGGTGGCTCTCGCCAGTGGTTCCCAGGGTTCTTCTTTTGCATTGGAAGGTGATGGGTGATGGGGACCGACACCGGCATGGCGGGGTAGCCGTTCTGCTGCTCCAAGGTGGACTCTCCATGGTGCCGCATGAACTTTGGAAGGAAGAACATACCTGGATTTAGTCAATTATTCTGAAGAGGACTATGGTTGTCTCTGGGCTTTCCTGAGGTTTTAACATCAATGCAATGTATAAAATACCTCTTCTGCAAACTTGGAGTCCGATGCCCCGTGCAAAGTGGGGGAATTGGGTGTGTAAGGGTCGGCATACATGGGGGAGCATGACAAAGGCGTGTTCACATTTTGGGGCGCTGTGCAAGCCTGACTCCTCGGCGAGTTCCATTGTTTCAGCTGCAGAGGGGAAATACTATGGTGAATACGCTGCTTTGGAAGGAATTGGGTGGGTTAGAATAACAACTATCTATTACATTTGCGTATAGTCTGGTCATTCTTCTGGCCACTAGAGAGAAATATTAAATGTAATAATAA